AGCCCTGGGTACACACACACACACACACACACACACACACACACACACACACACACACCACACACACACACACACACACACACACACACACACACACACTGCAAGCAACACATTATTCATACGGCACTTTTCCTTCCAAGCAGAAGCACAGTGTGAGCTTCTGTTGAGCAACGAGAAAATAATGAGACCCACGAGTTAATAAACAATAAAAATACAATTTAATACATGAATGATACAGGGGATTTAAAACCATTAAGGTGTAGGAGTAACAATAAAATACTTTAACTAATTAGTACAGATTAGTTGTAGATTTAAAGACATTTAAATGAGAACCAAAAAAGAATGTGAATAAAATATGTGAAATGGGTGTGTGTTGTTGTGCAGTATGAAGACACACAGTCCCAGCTGTTGGACCTCCGTCAGCGCTACGAGAGGACAGAGAAGGAGAAGGTGAACATCCACCAGGAGCTGGAGCAGTGCAAGAGCAGCCTGAAGCTGCTGCAGGACAAGACCAGCTCCGTGAGTACACACACAGACACACACACACACACAGACCCACACACACACACACAGACCCACACACACACACAGACCCACACACACACACAGACCCACACACACACACCAGAGTCCTGCACGGGTCTGATTTTCAAGAGCTGCACCCGCGACGTGCAATACCGAACCCGCCCCGCTACCCGCACATATTGCCAATTAGTTCCGCAACCCGACCCGAACCCGCATAGCCTATATATGAGCAGTGAAAACGTGCAATTATTAACACACGCAGTTGCATATTTGTCTCAAAAAGCGTGGGATGTTGGTTCTTTCCTCCATCTAGGAACCAAAAGCCTCCCAGACGTTGGATTTCGCTCTTGAGGAAGTGTTATTGAAAATGCTGTATTCTCCGCTAGAGAGCTTCACCTCAGCCATTTCGAATGTGGCGCGCTCAGCAGCAGATTGATGCGCTGCAGAGGTTATGATTATGCGCGGTCCCGCGGGGGAGAGGTCTGAGGATTTAAACATTAAACTAAATTATTATTATTTTAATATATTTATTATGCAACACCCGCGACCCGACCCGCATCATCTTTGTTTTACCCAGAACCGAACCCGGAAAAAAGCGTTTGAAAAAATACCACCCGCGAATCACCTTTTTTGTGGGTCACCTGTCGGGTACCCGACCCGATGCAGGACTCTGACACACACACACACACACACACACACACACACACACACACACACACACACACACACACACACACACACACACACACACACACACACACACACACACACACACACACACACACACACACACACGCACCTTCTTTCTTTAAAATACCAAAGAACCGTATAAAGTCTTTGTTTTGTAACATTAATTATTGTTTGCTCAGCTTTAAATCCAGATGTTTTCATAATATTGTTTTTTGCTTTAAGATATATGCAGGAGAAGCATCAGACTTGCTCATGGACACTGTCTTGAACTAACTAGCTGTATTCCACCCAGCACTTACATTGCACAGCCTCCTCACTTCTTATTTGCTAACCCTGTACAGAAAGTAGTGGTAAATAATATAAACCAAATGTAGTATTAGTGATAGATAAGAAGAAATCATCACAAGTCATCGCCTCTCCTGCCTTTCCTTCTGAGCTGATCAATAACAGCTGTTAGTTTGTGAAAACAGAAGATGATAACGAGGCGGAGCAGCCTCTTCCTCCTCTTCCTCCTCCTGTTGCCCCTCTTCCTCCTCTTGTTTCTTATCTGTCTTAAGCTTCTCTTCAGTACTTTCCTTACATGA